TCCTCCAATCACAGTACCTGCCAAGCTCACAGGATCAGATAGTAGTTCAATGCAAAGAAGAGGCTGCGAAAGCTTTCGAGCGCTGGCTAAAGACAGTACCGGAAAGCCATATGATCGTCTTCTCGGACGGCTCCAGGGCGACGAACGGAGCCGTGGGGTACGGCTTCGTCATCTACCGAGACTCCAAACGCATAGCGCAAGGGTGCGGCCGACTCGGACTAGCAGAAGTGTTCGACGCCGAGGTCGAAGGGGCGCGAACCGGCCTCAGAAGGGCTCTGCTCACCAATCGCGGTCATCCAATCCACATATGTATCGACAACACCAGCGTTATACAAGGCATCCGCGGCAAGGCGCCGGACTCGTCACAAGACGCGTTCCTCGAAATCCAAGAAGCGGCCAGGATATTTGATATACGGACGCACTGGTCCCCGGGACACCAGGGCATCGAAGGAAACGAGGCCGCGGACCGGCTGGCCAAAGAAGGAACGACACTGCCGGCGCGGATGGGTCAAATGGCAACACTAGCGGGCATCAAGCGGCTTGCAAGGGAAAAATTACAAAGCCAGCACAGGAGATGGTGGTATAAAGAGCGAAGGCCGCGGTACGCGGACTTGGGGCTTGAGGCAGCTCTGTCCAGCCCTCCTGAACTGGCCTTGCCGCGGGCTACGTTACATCACCTGCTGGCGGCACGATCGGGTCACGGGGACTTCGAGCAATATCACCGACGTTTCAACCACGACGACGCTCTAATGATGTGCTCTTGTGGAGAGGCGAAAGACGTGGACCACCTGGTCTACTGTCGACTAACGCTGGCGAGGAGGCAACGGTGGCCGACCCTCCACTCTCGCAGTATGCCCGAGCCCATAGGTCCTATGGGATCTCTCGAGGCCTACTTCAAGAGATTAATCACCGACCCACGAGGCTTCGAGGCCTTTCTCCGCGTGACGGACTTCTTCCAGAAGATCTGTCTGCGGTAGCAGCATCCACACCTAGGTAGATGTGAGTGCGGACTACAAAGAACCTCCCGATTCCAAGGGACGATTTGGGAAAGAATGAAACTGGGGCACCAGCGGGAACCGGGGACAGACAGAACGCGTAGTGGCCACAAGGCATGATTTGGAGGACGATGTAAAGAGACGACGTACTGTAGAGTAGGTAGCCTTGGCTCACGGCCCTCCACGCCATATACCCTTCGGGAGGTCTGCGGTAAGGGCTCTAGCCCGGCCGCCACGGCGTTAAATACAACAACAACAACAACAACATCATGGTAGGCTCCCGAATGCCCCGGAAGTACTCCTTCATATCCACTGGCTTCGTCTGTGGTTCCAGGCGGGACCTTACGGTACAGCAAGCAATCGCAAGAAGGGAGAGAAACATGAAACCGACGGTACGCATCGCCCACGGGAACCCGACACTGTCGATCATGCGCGGAATCATAATGGGCAGGATGACGCCGCCGACGGATGACCCAGACATCATTATCCCAAAGGCCGTGGCGCGGCGGCGATGGAACCACGTTACGAGACATGACATGCTCGCGCTCGTCACGGCGCTGGCGCCGATGGGACAGACGATGCTTTGGGCGAGGAAGAAGTGGAAGTATTCAAATCCCAGAGATACCATCATTATGCCGAAGACGTAGGTTATGGATCCACAGATGAGAAGCCATCGCGGACCCCATTTATCAAATGCGAATCCCCACTGGATTTGAGATTAGTCGGTCGGTGGCGGGGCAATCGGCGGTAATGGAACCTACGACGATGGGCATGAAGTTTAAAGTCCATTGCATAAAGCTGGTAATCCATGATATGGTGGATGAACTGTATTCGCGAAGGGCATCGGTCACATAGTACGTTTGAAAGACGCCAATGCTGTTTCCCAGACCAAAGGTACAGAACAAGACGCACCACGCCCCAAAGAGCACAATAAGAGCCTGCTTCCCGCCCTCAGGGTAGTCATCCGGATTTTCGCCGGTATCAGCTACCGATGTCGTTGTCGAGAGACCCTGCGCGGTGGCCGCCATCCGCTCGGGATGGTTCTCCAGATCCGTGCGGGGGTGGGATGCGGAGGAAATGCGTCTTTCCTCGAACCGGTCTGGCTGGTGGGGGTCGGAAGCATTCGGGCGGGTCTCGGGCCCTGGTTCCGAGGAAGCCGCTTTCTCCATCTGCAGTTTGTACGCGGGGGAGGGGAAGACTTCGGAAAACGTCTATGCGTAAAGATACTGCAGTTTGCCCCAAGAAGCCGACGGGATGGGGATGCATCGTTTGCTTGCAACTCTAATTCTGGCATACGGACCCTTAAGTATTTAAGCAAAGAGCGGAATCCGGAGAAGATTGTGGATACATGTTGTGGGGGGTTCTGGGGATGGCGATCCTCTTTGCAATGTTGCCATGCAAACTATTACCTAACATATTGTTGGTTCGTTGGTTGTTGGGGTGAACGTATTTCCACCATTCACAGTGTGTAAGCGAGGACTTGGGAGACATCTGCTACCAGGGATGACGTGATTGCTCGGCATTGGCTTTTACAAACTCGAGTTTCTGTAAGGTATAAAGAAATGGATAGTCCCGTTGCGTCAGGCCTCAACGCCGCAATTAGGATAATGCCTGGTTTGTTCTCGCACGTTAACGTTTGGCTTGGCCTTTAAGCTGTCTATTTGGAAAGCTTATCTGGGTTTTTTCATCCTGTTGGTGATGTACTTCGGGATTGACATATGATTACATATGATTTTGTTCTCCTATTGTCCACCTGCAAGCTCGCGGGAAGCCCACTTTGTTTCTGGAGCGGGTATGAAAAGCCAGGATTCCTCTCAGCGCTGTTTACCTGGAGATCAAAGACGCTCCAGAGACGAAGGAAGATATGATTGTATGGGAAACGACAATCTAATTACAGACTTCGAGCTGCTATTCGTCCCCCACAGTTGCTGCATCCATGCTAACTATGAATCGTGGCAGAATGTGCCCAGGAATCCGGACTTATCTTTGAAATGCTCAAGCCATGTTGACAACTATTTTCCTCTTACGACGTTCGAGGTTCTATGTTTGGTATATCGCTGACAGGAAAGAACACTCGGACTAAGATAATAGAGCGTCTGTATTTGTGACAGCAAGAAAGGCCCCTTCCAGTCGATGCTGTGTCATGAAAGGTCAATCCTGTCTGACCGCCTAAAGTGGGGCGACTCGGAATAGCTTCTTCTTGACAGTATTCAGGAGTCGTATTCCTGCTGGCTTGAGCCCTACTCCCGCGACCTTTCTCCACAATTCTGCGCGCCCTGGGACCTCTCCTTTATTTTCGTCTTCGTGTGAGCCGCTCATCCATTTCCTCCACGGCAACCCTCGGCCACCTCCCACTCTTCCCCGTGACCTTCACCTTCGAGTGGTTGCTCGACCCTTTTATTCTTCCCATAGCACACACTCGCACACACTCGCACAGCTCCATCTTCTCCACTCAGCATCGCCTGCAATAATTTCTGTCCGCGGACGCGACTTCCATCCAAGACACTTCCTCTTTCCCCATCTCGGCTTTCTCCCAACCATCTCATACGTTGAGTCTCGTCCCGCCCAGAGCCTAGGTAAGATTGCCCTTGGTCGATGAAAATACAATTGATCTCATCTAAAGCTAATTTTGATCAGACAAATCCTCAATCGAGATGGCTTCCAACGCGTCTTTCTCTGACCTCGACGCCCCTCGCGGAGAGATGGGATCCGAGAACAACAATATCAACAACGACGACAACAACCAGCCGGGCCGGTCCACTGGAACTTCTTCTGCCGGCGCTTCTCTTGGCAACACCGCTGCCACTGCCCACCAGGGTATATCCCAAGGTGATCATGCGGGTGTTATGGATGAGCAGAAGGTGAAGGAGATGCAGAGACTCCATGCTGCGATCGAGGAGGAGCGCAAGGCTCATATCAAGGAGAAGCAGCGCCTGGAGGCTGAATTCCAGGCGGAAAAGCAGGAGAAGGAGCGCCTGGAGGAGGCGGTTCAGGAGCAGAAGAACAGGGAGCAGAAGGCGCGCATTCAGCGTGCCATTCAGGCGACTCCAGAGGAGCTTGCGGCATACCATCAGGCGATTGAGGCTACGGAGGATATGAGACGTTCTGAGCGCCGCCGCGCTAATACACTTGGCCGCATGAACGGCTATCTTGAGGCCTGGGGAAAGAAGCCCCGTCGTTAAGGCGGGAGGATCACTTTGCCCTGCCTAGTGGCTTGGTCAATTGAGAATGAACGGCCGAATGACTGCCCGCTATCTTCCGAGGCTGATGGAAGCCCAGTGAGAGTGCACAAATAATACCACGCACTTCAGATTGATAATGACCCCAGGATTCACAATGCAAATGAGGAAGGTGTGAGAGGGGAGTGTTCACGTTCAGTGCCCCAGCACTCTAGCGACAAATCATTGCAAGTCGATCATGAAGAACGTGACATTTCTCATCATTTCAAAGAACTTGCTGTTGCCGCCACCTTAGCCAAGAGACGACAGACAAAGTCACACAGCCATTCCATTCAATTCACATGGATCTTACTATTTCTTCTCGAGGTAGTTTCTATTTATCAGCGTCATTTAAAGACGCTGCGAGTGTGAGAATTGTAGAGATGTAAAAAGCTAGGACCTCCAGTAGTCTGCCCTCCCAGTTCAAATACCACCTCGTAACTCCGCCATAGAATTTGCCGTCCTCTTTTTCCACTGTCTGATACCTACCCTCTTGTTCAGTCATCCACGCCCGTCCCGTTATGCTTCTGATCTGATGCATTTCAGCCCAAGATTCTTGGCATCAAACCACAATACATTAGAGAAAGCCGACTTATTAAGCTCATGGAATGTCATCCACCGGTCAACTGCCTGGAGCATGCGACATTTCAGGCGGTCAGCCAGCCGTGAAAACTTCGAGTTCGCCTTGTCGGCAAGGTACTCCTCCCGACTACGGGCATACATTTCAATGAGGTCTCTCATTCTGTTGTCGCTGACCTTGGCCTCTCAAGCCGGGGCCCGGTGTATGCTTTGCGCAAAAGTTCATTCTATTCAAAGAAACACAGAAAACTTCGTTAAAAGGAAGTAGAAGCAGAAGAATTTAGTACTTATCTCATACGGTAAGACCAAATCACCTTTGACTTTTTGCCTGGGTGTGTGCAATTCATTCTTTATCAACAATATCTCTAGTGACGGACGTAGCAATGTCCAGTGTGGTGAACAGATAAGATACAACTAGGACCAAGTCCCAACCTATGATGGAAGCATGGAACTAAAAGCAATGATAGCTTCTGGGGTCATCATTGAAGTCATAGGAACCATTAGAGCCGGCGGGGTAGGTGCTGGCTGGATGAGCCAAGATCTTAATGACGTTGATATCTTCTAACCCGATAACCGTTCATCCATCGATCCTTCGCCTCAAACTGCAGAATGTCGGTGATAGAGGACTTATCCGCCTTGAAAGCAATGTATCGATCGATTGACTGGAGAAGTCGGCAGTTCTGGTGATCAGCCAAGCATGGGAGCTTCGAGTTTGATGGACTCTCAAGGTAATTCGAACGAGCATTGGTGGACAAGGTCTCGGATGTTGTTGATGGTGACCTCTGTCTTCCACAAAGGGTTCACTTTGGCAAGGAGCCGTTGAAATTCGTTCCAATACTGACGCCAGTCCATGACTGTGTCTTTGTTCACATCAAGAACTCCAAAGACGGTGGAGAATAGGTGCTCGACTTTGTAGCAGACACAAGACGGCATGTCGTTAAGCTCAACAGGCAGGTCTGGTGGGCCGGGGAAGAGTAGGTCCCGATCGAGGTCGAGGACAGTGACGAAACCTCGATTCTGCTCAACGATAATGACATCCGGCTTGTCGAGACCAGGATAAGTCAGGTACTTCTGCACTCGAAGAAGGCTTGAATCGAGAGGAGTGCTCTCGGCAGCTTTATTCGGGCCCTGGGTTCCTTCAACGGCCAAGGAGGTTGATCGGTTGTGTGGCTTTTGAAGGCGTTTTTGGTATTTCTTGTTTGAGATGAGCTCGACGAGGTAAACTTACAGCTGGAGAGGGCCTGGATGGCAAATAGAACGCGACTGAATCCTCGGCTCGGAATAGGGATATCTTCAGGCTTAATGCCAGGCGGCAGGGACACAAGATCGTTCATCTGAAAGATTTGATGAGTAGAAGAAATCATCAGTGTTGAGTAGACTACCGTACCGTGAACGCCCTGGGCTGTTGACGTAGGCCTGTGGCATCAGCGCAAAGATTTTGGTATTCCTGAAAATGAAGAGAAAAGGATGCCGCGAAGTTCGGTCTGAAAGAACCCTTACAACTCGAAGACAAGGATTTCTGCGTCTTTCACGACCGCAGGAAGGCCTAGTGCGTGAAGTGAGTGAGTGAGGGCTACAACTACTAAGGACGGCCTCTCATGATGGTATCCACAGCTTCATCTTCTCCTTACTGGAAAGGAGCTGAGTGTCTGGGTGATATGTCCCACCTTCCCTTCAGTAGTTCACCAACAAAGTCCAAATTCTTTCCCCTTGAATTTAGGAACGAAGATCCATCTGAGATAGAACCGCAAAGAAACGTTGCCTCCTTACTGGAGTCCAAGCTTGAGCTGCCTCAACACCCAGCTGCGTCTCTGCAAATCCACTACAAATCCACCTTGGCCCAAGTTCCTGCTCAGTTCATCATACCGTGCCATCTAACCATTGACCTGGAGAATAGACTGGAAATTTATTGGATCTGACGCGAGATATATGGGCGTCTTCAGATCATTAGCGACTCATCGGACGGTTCGGGAGGGACAAGAGAAAAATAAGTTGCCCGGTTATTTGTCACTTAAAAACATGATCCTAACTACTATTTGGCCAACAGGAAAACTACGAAAACTTTGCGCGCAACTATTTGTCCCAATATGCCAAAGAATCAGAAATCGCACTGGGAAGAGCTTGACAAGCGGCCCAGAAACAGGTCTGTCGCTCCGGCTGCCTGATTCGTGAGTGCATCGCTTAGGCGGGAGTCATTGCAATTGCATCGGAAACGACCCACGTCAAGTTCACCTTCAATCTGAGTGCGGAAGATAGTCTTGCGAGACCTATCTAGAAAAGAGTCCCAGAATGCCCAACAACGGAGTTGACGGAGGCCGATTGAATACTCCGGCCGGCCTTTCCCCTTGAGATCAAGGCTGTCGGAACTCCATTGTACGGGAGCGTGCACCGATCACAAATACAAGAGTCAGACTCGACCTTGATACCCCAAATCTATGACTCCCGTATTCGGAAGCCCGACCCTTTTCAGCTTCAGTGTTTTGGCACCCACGTTCTTTTCTTGCCCAACGAGACCGGACGACGGCCGACTCGGAGCTCGCGAACCAGCGATATAGAACGGCGACTTCGGGCCTCTTTAAATTTTCTGCGAGTAGGAATGGGCAGCGAAAGTCATTTGGCTTCGTTTTCGCTGTTCGGTGTTGCTTGGACCCAGTTCAATTGCACTAGCGCTGTTCGTCTGAGACGTTCGAGACGAATGTTCCTCTCGTCTGATACTTCATGAGAGAACAAAGGAGCTCATCCACTGCGCTGCGCCAACGGCCAAAGACCGTTCCTCGTGGCACGAGCACGCAGGACCAAAACATTCTTGTCAGAACCTGCCGCCGCAATGAGTCGTCTGGAAGCTCCAACGGAAATCGTCCAAATTGGCCCTTAACAAAAGACATAATGGGCAAAACCGAACCAAAACCTTCGATGCTTTCTACGCTACGTACCGATTATCTCATTTCGACAACACCCTCGAATCGAAGCAACGAACACTTGATCTGGAAGATGGGTGGACCCCTGCAGCGTGACAAGCTCTCAGACTCGGGATTTGTCACGAGTTATGGCACACAGCAATGGGCATACGGAGTGTGGTAAAGTGGCCTAACCTATTAAAGTAGAAATAGACAAAAGAGAAAGGTCTATATGCAGGATGTAAGTGAGATATACGTGATATAGCACGTGATAGGCACTTTGTGGATTGCGGTCCCTATCCTTGTTACGTAACATACCCCCTAATTGCTACTATAAGGGAGCTATTGTGCCCAAGATAGGACCTCTGAATAGCCTTATAAAGGCCCGATTTGGTCGAGTGTAAATAAAGGAAAAATAAGCGCAAGGGATACGCGTCTTTTAGAACGCGTTTGTTGTTAATATCCCCTTTATCTGAAGTGAATGGAATCCTAACCAGGAATAGTGCGTAGTTTGCTGCTTCTGGTGTGTGAATTAGTGAGGGCGAGGCTGCTTGCTTACCTTGCGTATATCTAAAATCTCGCGGCCTCGCCTCGCTGTTATTTTTCTTCCTCCTTTCAACCTTCCATAGTCGTCGTATGTGCCCTTGCCTGCTGCGCGCGCACGCCAGCGCCGTCGAATCCTTTGCTGATTTTATTCCAGATACAAATATTCGATATGTCCGCGGTTACCAATAAGTTTTGCGTAATTTTTATGATATGTCCCATATACGCATTGTGCGGTTTACTAAAAGTTTAGTTAAATAACGATAGCGACGAGGCCCTCGTGGTCGAGTCCCCTCCCTACCCCCGCCGACCTGTCCCTTCTACGCACCAGGGCCCTGCTACCGAGCTCTCCCTCCCTGGCTAGGAGGACGTTGAGGCTGCTACTGGAGATGCCGAGAACTCTAAGGAGTTCGAGGCTCTCCTCGGCGGTGAGGACGTGGGCCATAATAAGGATGTGGGCGGTTATGAGAGCTCTGGTGATAAGCTTTTACCTCCCCCTGCCTCGGAGTCCGAGAGCGAGGAGGAGTCTGAGGAGGAGGAGGACGACGATGAGGATAAGGATGCGGACGACCTGCTCTCTAAGAAGGGTATGTCGTGTGCTGTTTTTTTAGGTATTCGTATTTGATATTGTTTAGACTCTAAGAAGCGTAAGCTCGCGGCCGCCTCTACTAATAAGAAGGGCGCCAAGAAGTAGAAGAAGGATAAAAAGAAGAGAACGCCGAGAGGTAAAGGCACCCCCCGCGGTAAGTGTAGTTCTTTTTGCTTATAAGGACCTGTCTGACGTGTGCTTAGTCCCTAAGAAGCTCAAGGGCGAGGCTCCCGAGGAGCGGGATATCTAGTGTATGCCCTGCCTTCGGGTAGCCCTCCGGTATACCGACCGTGAGGATAGTAGTCGTTATCTTATAGGAAGTAGTGGCCGGTGTGCGCGCTACTTTAACGGCCGTTCAGCTAAAGCTTATGTCGATGTACCGATTATCCTGCGGCCGATGGCCTGGGCTCTTACCGAGGCGATCGTGGGTGGCGCTCCCCCCTTCGTAAATATATTGTCGTTTTCTGTTGTTAAGAAGCGCACTCCTAACTATGATTTTAGTAAGAAATCGCTAAGCTTCGCGGTGTCGTCTACTAGATGGACGATAATACTAAGAAGTACGAGGACCATATCCGCTTCTAGGTGGACGACTTCCTCCCCCCGCGCCCCCCGACCCCTCCCCCGAGTGCGCCGGTGTTATCTATTACGTCTATCGTGGTCGTTTACGACTAACCTCCTGTCGCCCCCCCGCTCCTGCACCCTAGGTCGTTGATCTAACGGTCGTTCCGCCCCCGGCTCCCCCCGCTACCCCCGCTGCTACTGGCTTTGCGGACTTCGAGGCGCGCAAGGTGTGGTTCCTAGTGCGCGTGACCGGTCTCTTCGCCGCCGACGCCATGGTTCCGGCGGTTTCGTTCTTTTTAGACTAGGAGTTTAACTAGTGGGCGCAAGCCCGAGTCCTATTTCTATATGTGTGTGCCCTGCGGGGCAAGGTTGTTTTGGGAGTTTGGGCCTTCGGGCCAGGAAAAGTTTTATTTGTTTTATTTTGGGCCTCCGGGCCGCAATCTAGGTTCTGTCTGTGGTTTACCTTCGGGTACTAAGTTTTTCTGGGCGTGGCCTAAATTGATTACTTCTAACTACTCTGGTTATTTATGATGATTTCTTGCGCATCGTAGAGGTTAAGGAGTATGCGGAAGTGTTTAAACTTAGCTCGTGAAAGGTTTTTGGTAAGTCTATCTACTGGCATATCTTCTGTTAATATATATATAACCTCGAAGCTACCTTTGGCGTGCTCTTGTCTAAGCTATATGTTCTATATATCGATATAACGAAGCCGTGTAGCTATTCTCTCCCTTTCCCCTACGACGAGTCGAATCGTTTGCTAATTATTATACTTGACTAACTATACTTCTCCTAGGTCAAGGGTAATATCTTTAAAAAGGCGCTTCAGAGCTATAGTTTCCTTTGCGGTTTCTTTAAAGTAGAGAAGCTTAGCTTCGGTAGTTAACGTTATGACCGTCGCTTAGCGTACGGATTTCTATTGAATTGGGCTACTAAAAAGGAATATTATATACCCCTAGGATGATCTTCGTGTTGCCTCGTCATTTACAAAGCTAGTATCCCTAGCTAGAAGTAATGATTGCGCACTTAGTACGCTGCTGTATAAGAGCGCGAGATATCTTGTTATATATAGATATCGAATATACTGATTAATAGCCTTGGTGTAGATTGCGCTTGGGTTAGTTAGGAACCGTGATAATTATAAGTAAGTAAAAGCGACGTCTAGTCTGATTATAATGGCCGTATAGAGCACATTTCCGACCTTCTTTTAGAAGCTCTTTATCTCTTCTTTTATGGCCTGCCCCTCGTTTAGTTTAAACTCTTACTATGGCAGAGGGGTGGCTAGATTTATTATATTCATAAGGTCGAAGCGCTTAGTAATGCGTTTAATATATGCGTCGTGAGCCAGGTAAACCTTATAGGTAGTGCGGTTTTGTAAAATCCGTACTCTGAGGAAGTAGTTAATCGGTCTATTCTCCTTGAGGTTAATATATTCTTTAATCCCGTCTACGACTTCCTGAGCGGCCTTTCGGTCGTCTCTATAGTAGAGGATTATAAAGTCGTCGACGTAGAATACTAGCATTACCTTCTGGTCTGCTATTTAGTAGATATAGATCTCTTCGTAGCTATATATTATATCTATATTGCGAAGTATAGATATGAAGGTCTGGAACCATAAAATTAGCGAGTCTCGGAGCCTATATAGAGCGCGTTGGAGTCTTCTTACTTTCCCAGTGACTTTGTATCCCTCAGGTAGTTTTACGATTACTAGCTTGTCGCTCTTGATAGGTGCGTTGAGGAATGCGTTAATGGCGTTATATTGATTAGCCTCGAGGTCGAATTGAGTAGCTATTGCCATTATAAGCCTAAAGGCCTTTGCGGCGAGCGTTAAGGCGTACGTATTTTATAAGGGGTTAAGCGGTTGTATATCTCCCCTTACACATATACGTGCTTTTACTTCGTAGACCTCGTTGTTAGCATTATGCTTATAAATGTATACCTACTTTAATGGAAGTGGGATCCCTTGTTTGGGATCACGGTTAACCTCCTCCTATGTGCTAATATCCTTTAGCTTTTTCATTTCCGTATCTATGGCTTCCCTGAGTAGCTTTTGTAGTTGCTGCGGGAGATGTTTGATATTGCTGAACTTCTTCAGTGGGCTCGCGAAGTTAACTTTGTTGGGTTGTGGTTTATGTGCTACACTGGGGCGCTCTAGGTAGGTCCTGTGAACTGCTCCTTTTAATACTTGATGAAGTGTTATATGTCCTGTACTGCTTTCCTCTATTGCTTTCTGCTGATCAGGTATAAAAGTAAAGAAAAAGCAGTCCTAATGGCGCTTGTGGTAATC